AATCCTTAACAGATAAAAACTGATGCACACTGTCTAGCATTACCTTTTACTTTAATATAAATCATTCTTCGATGTTTGCTATTGTTGAAAATAAAACCGCAGTATATAAATCATAAATACTTTTACGATTTATTTGATAGGCAATACTACGCAACTTTTGGGATTCTTTTACATTTTATACATGGAGTTACACAGACACACATAAAAAGCAAAAATCACTTTGAATTACAACAAGGAAACTCTTTTTCCATTTGAAATGTTCTCGAACGGCATTGAGAAAAGCCATGACAACAGAAAAAACGCAGCAGAAGAAGAAGAAAAATACTACCTTTGTGTTTTTCTTGGAAAAAGACTAATAATGGTAGAACAACCGTACTCACTATCACGTCATCATGAAAGACACATAGTGACCAAAAACACTATTTGTTTCCAACTGTTCGATAAAAACTAATAGACAAACAGATAACAAACAACAACGAAGACAAGAAGAAGAGAAACTAGCGGTTAAAGCCGACGAAGAAGAAGAGAAAGTTGCCCCCATTTTCTTGTTTTCTTTCTGCTTTTATAAAAAATCGGTAGCATACAGAGCAGAAAGAAAAAAAGAAAATTGGGGCAATTTTCTCTTCTTCTTCGTAGGCTTTAACCGCCAATTTCTTCAATATTAGGAATAAATTTAGCAACGAATATCCGAATGCGTCTCGAAAGTAATTTAGGTTGACACTAAGCGCTGGGATGAGTTTCAATTGTAGATCAACAGCCTAAAGGTTCTGCATGTTTTTATTCATATATACCTTTTGATCGGTGCTGCTGACCAGAGTAGTTCCTGAAATGACTGCGTCTAAAAGTTTTTAGTAACATCGACACAAATATTATTTCTTACTGTGCATGCTCCTCTTGAACCGACCGTCCTAAAAATATAACCACGAAGAATATTTTAAATTTTTCAAAGGCCTATCAGAACGTTTATTTTTCATAACGATAACAATCAAAGAAATGTTACAGATATTTCGACTACTGGAAGTAAGGCGCCGCTAATTCAATAATCAGGTGGACTCGATGACTTTTCTTCAAGACTTAAACTCCGGTAGCTGATCAAACATTGATCGCTCGAACCTTGAGATTCTCATCGCGCAATGCTATCTAGTTTTTTGCCATGAGAGCTAGAGACTTCTTTCATACACCAGAAAATTCGCCCAGCCCTGCTCCACAAAAGTATGCTTCGTTTTTTTCGAAACGTTTTTCTTTTTATGACAAATTAGGAAAAGACTGAAAAAGTGCGAGTTTTTCGAAAAATCCTTCAGATGATGAGTCCCTAACTCAGTGATATTTCCACCTAGAGAACTGCTATTATGGTTTTCTAGGTAAAAAGCAATGCTGAATACGTTAGAAATGTGTTTGAGAGATTTGGAGCTTTCCAAGTAGGTTTTGCAAAAAAACAAAACTCTGAGAAACCTTCAAGAGCCTTTTGGAAATCTTTTTCGTCTCAAGTACATCTTATCGATAAAGCGTCAGATTTTGAGCAAAATGAGATGTCTCTGAGCCTTCTAGGACATCTCTAGGCTGAGATAAGGCCATTTTACTTTCAGAGATCCGGCTGACTCAAAATCCTTTAAGAGATTTGCCAATAACTCGGCTTAGAAAAACGCTGGGAAGCTCGGAAAGGTCTTATTTACTCAGAAACCGATGCGCATTCAGATGCAATGCCTGATGGAGGGCTGCAGAGTAATCACGAGGTTTATTGAAAAACCGACCCTCTGGGAATCTCTCAGAACCCTTCGGAATCCCATTACCCTTGTGAGGCACCGCATCTAAATGCGCATCGATTTCTGAGCAAAATAAGACCTTTCCGAGCTTCCCAGCGTTTTTCTAAGCCGAGTTATTGGCAAATCTCTTAAAGGATTTTGAGTCAGCCGGATCTCTGAAAGTAAAATGGCCTTATCTCAGCCTAGAGATGTTCCAGAAGGCTCGAGGACGTCTCATTTTGCTCAAAATTTGACGCTTTACCGATACGATGTGCTTGAGACGAAAAAGATTTCCAAAAATCCAATAAAAGATTTCCAGTTATTTTTCCAGTGTATTAGTAATTTTAATACATGTCTTCGTCGTCTATTTTTTTTTAAAGCATTGCATTCACCGAAAATATTCAGGAGATTAAAACTGTTCTCTTAGTTGAAGGTCAACTATATCATCGAAGAATCCGAAATAACTTCTTTTTCAATTGGAGAACACACTATATTTTGACAGTTTAGCTGAATTGCAACATGAATTATCATTTCGGAAGTTTGCCGGAAATACGTTCATGAGAAAAATTTCTTTCAAGTTATTAGGATAGTTATATTAGCTATCGTAGAATTTCTAGAAGTTAGAAAATGTGAAAGTATCAAAAGCTGAATAGCAAAGTTGGATACAGAATTTTATTGCGCGTCTACACTGTACTTTGGAATCAATTTCTGATTTACAGAAAATCGATCTCAAAAATGGTCGACGATTTTCTGACTTTCTATAAATTTCTGATTTTCTACTTTCTAGAAAAAAATCGAGTAGATTTTCTATAAATTGAATTTTCCTTTTATTCAGAAAACCGCCATAGAATTTCCAAAAATATCAAAATTCGGCGTCGATTTTATAAATCCTGGAAATTCCACATCGAATTTCTAAAATGTTAGAAAATCGATCGATTTTCTATAAATAATTCCAATGATTCTGGAAATTCGAAATCGATTTTCTAAAATGCATTGAGTCATTTTATTCCCCTTAACTTTAACAGTGGTATACATATGGCTGAAATTGACCAATGAACGGTTAAATGCGTCTTCCGTAGAGGTAATACCAATAGAAATGAACACAGTCATGAAGAAAATGTGCGCATAAATTACTAACGCAATGAAAATCGTCATCGCGGTGTTAGTGTGAGAGAAACCGAGGAAGAAGAGCCGTTTGTGTGATTTTTCGTGCTGCATGTGGATGGGCTGAAAAGTGACTAGTCCTGAGAGACTATTGTAGTGCGTTTTTGAAGTTTTTTCGTCAGAGTCTTTCGGTCACTCGTGTCAAATATCTACCTTTATGCAGCTTCGCAAATAATTGCTTTCGTACTCGGCCAAAAAAATGTAAATATCAGCTTTACCCTATATGCTTAGGCCTTGAGAAAAGGAGCTGTATCGCAAAAGTTAATTAATTTCTTTTGAGAGTACATTATTTCTTCACGAATAGAACTATAGAGCAGTCATCGTCACTTTTTTGCAGAACCGCTAAGTTATGCGTGAAGCATTTTGTCGTTTTTTTATTTGGAGCATTTTCCAAGTTGACTGAATTGGCTGATGATGATGCAAAATAGTATAATAATTTTTCTTTTGTTGTTTGCTACCTTTTTAATAAATAAGCAAGTAAATAAGCAAAACATCTTTCAAACGATAAATTAGAAACATCAACATTTGACAGCATTGTTAACCTAGAAGGCAGTCAGGCTTTTTTCTTTTGTCATTTAATGTTTCAAGTCTCTCTTTCTCGGAGTATGCTAAAACATTTAAACACGACATCATATAATTACATAAACGTCAGAAAAATCCTGAGTGATATTCCCAATAACTGGAAATTCCTCACGGATTTTCTAGATAACTAGAAATTAATTCCATTTTTCGAATTTCTAAAGGTCCATATATAAAATCGCCGAGGATCTTTTTTTAATTTTTGAAGAATCTTGGAAATTATTTATAGAAATTCAATCTCGAATTTCCAGAATGATGGAAAATCGAGGTCGAATTTCTTGTAAATTCGATTTTCTAGACTGTAGAAAACCCTGAAGGAATTTATATATGAACTTTTTTAAAATCACCGAGTATTTTGAATTTAAAATTGGTAATTCAATAACTTTTTCGACGTTTGGTACTTTGTTATTGACACTGAGAGAATATGATCAAGCTCAACAGTATTACGATGAGATCATTAACATTCAACAATCAAACAACACTTCACTAGTTCTGGGTTGTATTTATAATAATCTCGCTCTTATCCATAGTATTAAAGGTAATGTAGAAAAGGCAATAGATAATTATTGCCTAGCACTTCAGTGGCTAGAATCACATCGAAAAACTGATGCTCTAAACAGCTCTCCCCCTAATACTACAGTTAGCCGAACTGTGACAGACGACACACACACTAGTACCGCTGTGTCACCTATCGCCAATATCTCGAATAAGTTCGGGAAGTTTTCGTTCGAATTGTCGATTTTGTTCGAATTTGCCGCAAAATCAAATACCCCATTAACTCTAAATCAATGGTTCCCGTTCGGACTTGATGTCTTTGAGAAAATCGATTAGCTTTGAACAATAGCTCTGCGAACCTATCGCGAAGCGTTTTTCGTACTCTTCTCAGACTGAAACAAGTTTCAAGATAAGGCTTATGTGCCATTCGATGCAGTTTTACACGACGCACAAACCTATCTGTTACTCAATTGTTATGTACAATGCGAACACTCACGTTTTTAGAATATTACTGTTAAAAATGACCTTTTCAGCATAGTCCACGATATTATTTCTATTTTGTCACCATTAAGGAACCTAGGTTGTGGCCTAAATTACATATCAAAAGAAAGCTCTTCCAAAAGTCTACAAAATGGCTGGTAATTCGTTTGTAGTTGAAAGTGTGAACGCTCACTTTTTCGGATATTACTGGTGTTTCGGCATCGACGGATAGGTTTAATCCATAAAACCTACCTCCATTCACATTACAAGTTATGCCACACCTCGGAGTCTTGAGATAGAGATTTCTGAAAAATCCTGTTTTCTAAAAAGCCGTAAAAAAAAGTTTCGTCTCGTATTTGTTAATTAGCTCTCGTTTCGTCCCGTCTCATTTCGTTCCACACTCGTTTCGTCTCGTTTACATTTTCTATCATTCTACTCATTTTCTAACTAGTCATTTTTTTCTATCAACTGTATACTAATCAATATTAATATAATTTGATAAATGGCTCTATAAGTTACATTTATTATTTTATTTACGAGTTACAATGAAAGAGGTAATTTTGCAGTATTAACACATTTACCGCATTTAATTGCAAGGTCGGTTCCAGACAAAGTACCATTTTCATATCTTTTAAAATATTCCTTGAATTTATTATCACAATTATTGTGGACTTTCTTCCGTTTGACTGTTTGCATGAAAGATTCTGTATAACGTGTATGATTATATTCATTTTCTTCTTTTAATGCTTCAATAAACTCATAAATATATGGATGGACACCAAAATGCTGTTTTAATCGATTATGAAAATCTTCGACATGATTATTTGTTCTCGGCTGACCAGTAATAATTAAATCATGAATATTCCATATAAATGATTGAAATATAGCGTCATCATCAACACATGTATCTGTTAAATAATCATTGAATGTTGTGGCTGCTGAATCATCTGATGTATATTCTGACATAATATTAGCCCATGTTTCAATAACAATATTTAATGGTATCAGTGCTAAGCCAATTGCACCACGAGACCAATTAATTGAACTTTCTGTACATGTAGAATGACTAACTTTTAAATATGATGTTAAACCACCTGTCTGTATGAATCTTCACAAACTTTGCGAATAATGGAAAAAACAACCAGAAATTTTACGATTTGGAAATATATTACTCAGTGCATTAAATATTGCCTGTTCAAAATCCGATACAGCACGTTTTGGTTCAACAACAATATTATATTTATTTGCTTGTTCAATAATTGTTTTCAATATTTGTTCATATGTTTTACCACTTTTATCTGATGTCAATGCATAGACTGTTGGTATCATGTAACCGTTTCTATAACCATGAATAATATACAGTTGTCTAAATGATAATGGACGAGTTTTAAATGTACCATCCATATGCCACGTATCAACTTCTGATAAATATTCAATACCCCATTTGGAACCAAATACCAATAAACGTGTATCACTTTCACGTAAATCCTTGATAATAAAAACATTGTCACGAAGATCAGTACTCCATTTCTAGTTAACGTAAGATCTGACACTGATTTTGGTAATTTCGGATAATTTTTTTATTAATTAAGATAATGTAAGAAATTGATGCACAGCATAGTGATACGTATCAACGTATCACTATGGACTAGTTCGCTTTTCTAAACCTGGATCAATAATAAATTAACTGATGAGTGGCGTTGTCGAATTAGAAGTTGTAATAATATAACTGTATCAGCTCGGATTTACGTGAAAGTGATACACGTTTATTGGTATTTGGTTCCAAATGGAGTATTGAATATTTATCAGAAGTTGATACGTGGCATATGGATGGTACATTTAAAACTCGCCCATTATCATTTAGACAACTGTATATTATTCATGGTTATAGAAACGGTTACAGGATACCAACAGTCTATGCATTGACATCAGATAAAGGTGGTAAAGTACTTGCATCAAGTACGTTCTTTAGGGGTTCCGATGTCCTCTGTCAACATCACCGAAGGGTTTTGGACAAACCGCCACAATACAATACGCCATTTTGGTTGCAAACGGTATATTTTTGATATTTATTTGGTATATTAAAAAAAGAGGGTTTACTTCGAAATATAATATTGTTTTTCTCATACATATTGATGTAACAGGCGCCATAGTTGCATTCTCATTTCTTTCAATAGGATAAAGCTTATAACAATCCTATATAACAAGAAGATTAAAAGTAGATCATGATCAACCTTCGGTGGAAGAATATTTCTCAACCAAACTGCAATTAGACTTTTTACATCGCATGCTTCCATGGCCGTGTCTGCTTTTACTCTGCATGATTTTCGTCACATTCTTCGAATCATTTTCATATTGTATCTAGTTTCTGTTGACTGTGTTGACTGTATGTATCTAGTTTCTGTTGACTGCATCGTGTGCTGTCCCGCAATTATATTAAGCAAATAAACACTTATGTCAAGCAAATTCGAAGAAAGAAGAAAATAAATTTTATGGCCAAGCAACATGTTAGTGACAAAAACAGCACGATTTGAATAGCAAACTTTTGATGAGGCAGCATTTCGTAGCTGGTCATTTATATTTCTGAGCTCAACTTATCACACAGTTTTACTGTGCAACAGTAGGTAAGCTGACGAGGTGTCAAAAGTATAAATGATCCAATAGCTGGTGTTTATCTAGTCACGATTAGAGAAATTAAGAAAGTAATGAAACAAGCTAGTAACTAGGATACCTGTGACACCACAAAAAACAGAAAAGAAAGCTCTTATTGAAAGGAAAGGAAAAATGCATGAAAATAATAAAATAGAGATACTATGAGCGAGCTGAACACAGATGTTCATGTAGTTTGAAAGCACTCATAAAAAATATCGAGATCATCTCTCTCTCTCTTCTCCAATAATAGGTCACAAACAAGAATTACTGGAACAGGAAAAGTAGTTTAAGTGGACTTGAAAACCGCTGAGAAACTTTACATACGTTTTGTGCTCAAGCAACCACCTAATGGGCACAAGTTGTTTGACAACTCAGAAAAATATATCGCATACCGAATTTGAGCTATAGCTATCTGCTTAGCAGATGAATAAATTCATCACTGAACCACACTAATGCGCGACTACTAACTTATCTTCTCACCTTAAATTTACATGAGAATGATGAAACAAAAGAGAAATCAGGAGAGACGTGGAAATCTAGAGACCTAAGCATCATTCATCACTTCTCTTTGTTTTAAGGATCAACATCACTAAACAG